CAAACATTTACTAACAGCAGCTGTAATGTCTAAAAAGCAGATCATTTACTGTGCCACTCATAATTTATTTAGTTAGAACAATGTCTTATTTCAAAAGGACCCAATGAAACTTACATAAATACATATAATACAACAAGATAAAATGACCTAAGAGAAGAAAGAAAAATAGGATAAAGGAAAATTGGATGTAGGAAAGATAAGCTGTCCTGGGAGTAAGGTTCATGTACCAAAGGAATATATTCTATAACTGCACCTTTGCTAGAGGTAGGTCAGAGTTTTGGCTCCTAATACTTACAGTAGCCAACAACACATGATGACTAAATCAGTTCATTATCAGCATCCTTAAGATAAAAACAAAAAGGTATTTGAGTACTATTTCTCCCTTGGTCCTCATTAAGATGATACCAAATAATGTAACAAATTATGTCCTCAACAACTTCCTTGCAGCTGATTTCTCAGAGAGCTTTGGAAGACTATTCCTCAAAATAACCCTCACAGGCAAATGACAGCACGCAAGTCAATAAAAACAAATGATGGAGAGGAAGCCAGGAGGGCAAAGGAAAGAGTTCAAGTAGATCTTCCTTGCAGATCTAGATTTATCAGAAACAGATTTCATTCTGTCTAGACTAACCTGAAATCCAGAGGCTTCATGCATCTACTTGTCTTTGAAATTATAAACAATTTGATGTGCATGTCCATTTTTCCAGGGAATATGACTGTAGTTTCATAACATTCTCAAAGGGAAGCATGACTTAAAAAAAGTTAAGAACCACTGATCTAAAGAACCAAACTATATATATATCCTTCAGGCAACCTTCCATAAGCAGTTTCTTTTCTGAGCTCCTGAAAAGTGCTGTGCCTCAAAACTGCAGCCCCTGACAAGCATTAGCAGTATGGCTTTGCTCTGATGCAAAATGTAGAACTTCAAGCTTTAACCATAGGCCAACCCTGTGTGTCAACTGTCAAGATATATAAGACCTTTAATACAGTGATGCCCAAATGCATATGGAACATATGACAATCCATTCTTCTAGATAGGTTTCAGCCATGAACACTGATAAAGAAGCTTCCTCAAAAGATTAGTGCTATTTCTTCTAGAGAGTATAAAAAGTAAAATGAAAATAAAAACAGAAACAAAAATACCACATTTTGCCCATGGATAAAAATTACAGAAAAGCACAAAAATAACTACTTTCCTAGATAACAATTATTTTTGAACTTTAAAATAACATCCTTTGCACATCAATTGATATAATCTGAACCTTTTTTAACCTTTTGTTGTTTAAATCTTATACAACAAAACAATCACTGCCATAGCTTTAGACACATACATACACAGTCAACCATCCTCTGATAGTATTTTGGTTTGGATGCCTCAAAGGCCCAAGAGGATCAAGTGAGGAAGCCGACCTATAAGGCTGAGATAAGGCCTTTTAAGACCTCATCCATCTAGAAGAAATCACAGCCATCCAGAGTCTGTTCCTCGGTATAATAAGCCCAGACATCTTTTTCAAAGAATCTGCAATTGAATAAGCTCAAGAGAACACATTCACGCTAATCAAACTCAAAAGAGGCTGAATTATAACTCAAAATATCAATTTATTAATTAATCATAGAGAATATTCCTTTTCACTAATAAGAAAATTTGCCCCTGAAGCCAAGATGTTGTTTTCTCAATGTCCAGATACCTAGAATTGTGAATTAGTAATCAGAAGTTCACCAGAAATTAGAACAAAAAGAGATAGAGAGTTTGGGGGATACCTAATAAATTATCCCTAACCAATATACATCCTTCTAGTGACCAAAGTTGTCCCTCCCACAGGTAAAGTCTCTGTCCCTTGGATCCTGCTGCCCGAACACTGGAGACTTCTTGGTTCCTGAGCTTTCTTCTTCCATATCCTTCTCTCCATTAAAAACTTCTCTAGATAGGGTATAATACAATTGATGAGGGTACATCTTACATGCTTTATTATCCCTGTTTTTTAGATAAGAAAGTCCCAGATAAAGCTGCTTAAGTAAATTGCCCAAGATCACAGTATAGTGTAAGGCAGAGCATATACTCAAAGCCAGATCCCAAGTCAAAGCCTATGCTTTTAATCTTGCAGTAAACAATGCGTTCAACATGTTTTCCTTGGGCCTCTCTCCTCCCAGTCTGATTTAAAAGCCCTTACTCTGTGTTCCCATAATATCCTAAGCACACTATGACTGTATTTTTTGGTATAGGAGTCTGTCTCTCTCACTAGACTGAAACTTTTTGAGGATGAGAGTTGTGTCTCACTCACTCTTATATCTGCAGCGTGCTATCTATCTGGGTATATATTCAAGCCAATTTGTTCAGTGGCTTAACATAAAGATCAACAAACTAAAGGCCTCAAAAACTAGCCATGCAGCCTTGAGAAGGTCACAACTTCTCCAGCCATCACTATATTAATTTTGAAATAAAATTAAATTTCTCATTTGTCTTCTGTACCACTCCAGAAACAGGATATATAAAAATAATAGAAAGTTCAGAAAAAGCTTTCTCTTTTCTGGAAGGAGATAACAGTCATCTATACCAAAATCAAACAGTGGCACCCTCCTCTGGTGAATGTTAAAGGAGCTAAACAACACAAAAGACAAGAACTAGATGGTGGGATTTCCTCTGAATGATATATAAAGAAAACTAAGAGAGAAATTACCTAATATCATTTGTTATAATCACACTCCCAATAACTACTAAATAACTCCTTTTATAGAACTTCCCTTATTTTTCCTTAAAGCAAAGCCAAAATGAATGAACTGGCTAAACATGGTAGGAAGTTACAGAGAGAACAATTATTCTATTTTTAAAGATTCTAATAATATAAATTATTTTGTAAACACCATGCTTTTTAGTTTAAGGCACAATGAAAAGCATTTCATGGTTTGGCTAACAATGATCATCTTTTCATTTATTATAAAAAATGTAATGAAAAGCCAGGTACATGTAAAATATTTTTAGTAAAATAAAAGCATTTATCATGTCCATTTTCTGGATGGTACATTTACCACAAGATAGTACTGGAAATTTTTCAACCTGAAACCTATTTGGGTCTGCAACTTTTAGGTATTAAAATATCAACTTAAAAAAATGTAAAAATCACTTGCATGTGAAAACTCAAAACATGCCAATATATCACACTTGGACAACTGCAACCAAAAGTGTCACAACATTAATATTACAACCAGACCTTTAAAAGTAAAACCTTGCTTTCTAAGATCAAAAGCAGATTATCAGCAGCCAATAATTTTTAATATAAAAATATATAATAATATATGCTTATTAAATTATTGACAATTGAAGAAATCACAGCTTTCTTTATCCTGAGTCTAGATACATAAAATGAAAAAAAAGACATTCTGATTTAAGCCAAGAAAACAAATCAGTCATTATACTGGCAACCTTATCGTTCAAGTATGTTTTGACCCAAGTATGCAGCATTTCTTCCCTCAATTAACTTCACATCTATCACCTACTCTGTGACCAAAGGGGGAGGAACCCCACACTACCCAAAAGGTTCCAAAATTACAACCAGTGAGAAACTTTCATTCTGAAAGACAAAATACAAACAGGTCAGGGTGGATGGAAAATAGGAAAAACTGATTTCAGTTCTACTAAATAAATAAGTTTTCCTACTAAGTTTGTCATTCTTGGCAAAGTGGTTCTACCAGGCAGGTAGACAGTAAGTATCTTGGAAAGATCAGCAGAGTGGTGGGTGGAGAATGAAGATAAGATACTCAATTGAAAGCTTTCTCAAAGTTCACCCAAAACAAAGGCCAAAGAACAAGCAAATGCTTGAAAGAGAATGACATTCCCTGTAATTCCCTACAGCCCACCCAGAGAACAGAGGGCAGAGAAGGGAACTGAGGTGGGGAGTTGAATAGGGGGAGGAGGAATGAAATAAAGGAAGAGGGGTAAGAATAAGAAAAGTATGCTGACAAAAGAAAAAAAAAACAGAGTATGCAGCAAGGAAACTCCGTTACAAAGTGCCTAATTGAGAGAGATGGTGTGACTAGCCTGGTGCTTTTTGGAGCCTGGCGCTAGAGCCACATTTACCACTCACTTCACCTGGGCCAGCGGGCAAGGATCATATCCAACCATCGCCTGACCTCCAGTAAACCTGGGCCCCAGCACGCAAGCCGGGTGCCATAAAAGTGGAAGAGGGGCCTGAACCAACCTCTAGCCCCATCTCTTGCTCCCAGACGAACCACAAAGGAATCTAGAAGCAGAGAGACGTCTGCACCCCCACGCCTGCCAGGGCGCAAGGGTGAGGTCGGGGAACCGCCTCCTCTCCGGGCACTGCCACCTCTGCAAAGGCCAGGGGCATCTCGGTCCCGTGCTGAAATCCGACTAAAAACAGGCTGCCAGCGAGGTGCTCCTGTCAAGTGGCCCGATTGCACTTGTAAAGTTGATGTAAGTTGGGAGGAAGTGCAGAGCTGCCCTTAGGATTCCTCCCTACAGCAAAAGCGATGGGGAGGTGTTGTCACAGCTTCCTTAAACTCTCACTGAACCCCACTCTGCTCTGTAGCCTTAATCTCTTTCCCTAACCGAGCGTAAAAGATACTGTCTTCCTTCTTTGTCCCGAGTTCAGCCTCAAACCCTAGAACGGGGGCACCGAGGCACGGGACCAGAGTTCACTGGAGATATCATTAATTCTCCCCCGCTAAACAGCATAGTCATTTGCTGGGTTCTGGCCTTGGGGACCTCTTATTAAGAGACACGAAATATGTTGTGGATAACTCTCCCTCCGCTAAAATGCACCCTCAACCCCAAGACGTCTGGATCCAGCGGTGCTTTTGCTAACTTGAGCCGCATTTATCTGGCTGGGCACTAGGTCATCACCACGCCCCTCGCACCCAGGTCCTACCCCGCGGCGCACACCCTGTCCTGTTGTTTACACACACACACAGGCACACACAGAGAGAAAGAGAGAGAGAGAGAGAGGAAAAGAGAGAGAGAGTGCTCCATGGGTAAGTCCTACCTCTCCCCCGTGCCCGTCGAAGATCCCAAAGATGGACGGGTGTGTCTTGTTGGCCAGATCTGTGAGAACTTCGAACCGGTCCTCCATGTGGTCTCTCCGGCCCTGGATGGAGTACACGGCCACGTTGTGGCTCTTGAACTCCCAGGTCTTGGAAAATTCTGCCTCCAGCACATCAAGCCCCCCGAGTCGATCATTCTGCATGATCTCGGCTACCTTGCCCTTCACCATCTTCACGGCATCCCGGCTGGACTTGACGATGGTCTTCACCTCGTCGGTGTGGAAGAAGTAACTCCAAAGCGCCAAGCTGATGCACAGCAGGAAAAGCGTCTCGGGTCTCAGCAAGAAGTAGCGCATGATGCGACCCAGCAGAGACAGCAAAGTCATTGTATCCTCTATCATTTATTATCGCTAGAGCCCCAACGACCGGCAGCGACGCGCGCCCCGAAGGCTCGCCGGGTCCCGGAGCACTGCGGGGACAGCCCGCGGGGAGGGAGGCGGAGCAGCGCCCGGGGCTGGGGGAGGAAACTCACCGGGCCGCGCGGGAGGCGGACGAGAGGGCTGCTCCGAACCGGCAGCGCAAGCAGAGGCAGTTTCCCTTTTGTCTCCCCGCCTCAGCGGCCCAGAGGCCCGTCCCCGCCGCCCGCGCCGCCTCGCCTCTCTTCCTCGAGCCCCTTTGTGAAATCGCCGCGGTGGCGGCGGCGGGAGCGGCGGCGGCACCAGCAGCAGCAGCCACCGCAGCAGCAACCGCGGGTTGAGCGAGGGGAATCAAGTTAAAGTTCTGCCGGGCGGGTCCACCGCAGTGAGCGGGAGAGTTCGGGGGCGCCGGCGCCCGCGCCTCCCCTCCGGGCGTGACCCCTCACGGCTCCGAGGAGCGATCAGCAGGTGAGGAGGCGCAGGGTTCGAGAGCCCGGCGGGCGAGGGATTTACGTCCCCTCGGTCGCCGCTGCAGGGGAGCGCAGACACGGCCGAGCGCTCCAATTCCTTCACTCACCCCGGGGAACCCCAGAGAATAAAAGTTTCGCGGGAGCCTACACAGAGGCGGGGGTACGCGGAGCCTGGCGACGAGGCACAATCGGCGCTGAGCCGCAGGCGGCCGGCCGGGCTCTGCCTGCCTCTCCCTGGCACCTCCCGGCTCGGCTCGGCTCGGCTGGGCTCGGCTCAGCTCGGCTCGGCTTCGCTAGCGCGCTACCTCTCGTCCTGGCTCGCTCCCGCCCCGCCCCTTGCGCGTTCGCCCCGCCCCGTCCCGCCCCTTGAGCCTGGACTGGGCACCCCGAGGTGCTCCCTCCGAACTGTCAGAGGTTGAGGGAAGTTCGGCAGCAGCTGGCGCGCGCTTCCAGCTCGGGGCCGTCCAGGTGAACCGAGGGGGAGGGAAGAGGCGGGTCCTCCGCCTAGCTCTTGCGGAAGGTCGTTCCTGCCCCCTGTCTGGCCTCGCAGGACAATGTCCTACTGACCCGGGTAGTCTTAGCGTTTGTTTCTTGGGAGCCACTGCTGCTCACTGGGAAGCAGAGAGCCGCACGTGAGCGTTCTCCCCTTCAGGAGGCTGCACGGTAGTGCAGTCCCCGCTTCGCCAGGCATAAGGCAAGCGAGAAGGGACGCACTTCTCCCAGCTCGCTTTGCGAGCCGGCCGTCGCCTCTGCGTTCAGCAACTGAGGCCTGCCGGGATCTCCCGAGAGGCGGAGAGCCAGCCCGGGGCCTAGCAGCCTTTACCCGTCCGAGAACAGCAGAATGGGGGGAATCGGAGCCCCATGGAAGTGCGCTCGGGCGGGGTGAGGAAGGACCTCCCTCTCTGACAGCAGCCGTACCCCGTGGAGCAGGGGACTCAGCAGCCACGAAGGACTTCTCTGGTCGCCACCTTTCCACAGGGAGTCACGAAGCTTCTGGGGGTGGGGGTTCCTGACCCTGCCTCGGGGCAGGGGCTCTGACTCTGCCATTCAGGTTTGACGGGGCCCTCAAAGCTCCGAAGCAGCTGCCTCGTACCACCCTCTAGGTCGTGGCGCGAGGAGGTGCAGCAGGGACGCGAGACATTCCATAAGCACAGGGGACTGCCACAGAGCACAGTGCGGGCCCCCAGGAGCCGTGAAGGATAATTTGAAAGGTGCACAGGTGTCGGTGGGCCTTAAAGATGGGTATTGGTACAAGAAAAAAACAATGTACAAGTCAGCCTAAAATAGGGAAACAAGTGAGCTTTAAAGAAAAATATTCACTTTTGCCACCCCTGTCCAGGAAGAAGAGTGCTGATCTGCTTTTTCCAGCCCTTGGACTGGAGACTAGAAGCTGCCTGATCCCAGCAAAGACAGTGTCTGTACCCCTTTAGCACTCCGCCTTGGTATGATCCCGATTACTTTTTAAAAAATAAATAAAAAGAAGTACTGGAAGGAAATACACCGAAGTGTTCACAGTGGTTAACTACAGTAGATTATATGTAGTTTTCATTTTCTGCCTTAGATTTTTGTCTATTTTCCACAACTTTCCCAAAGTTTCTACAAAAGGCATAGACTTTTCCATCATAACCAGAAAAAAATGAAAACTTAACATTTAAATGACATATACACTATGATCTCAATAATACAAATATGCACAGAAAAGATAAAAGGGAAGTATGAGGAACTGTTGCTAGTATGTTATTTTTGACAACTAGGATATAATTTCCTGTTTTGCTTTGCACTTTTAGGTATTTTTCCACCTGGTAAATAGAGAAAACACTTTAAAATCAATTCAGTCATTTTGTTCAATAGTCAAGAGGTTCCAAAATTAGATAATGAATTCAAAAGCCTTTAAGAACTACAAAGAAAAGTAATGCAAAAAAAAAAAAAAGTAATGCAAATTACTTGGTGTTATTGTGAAGATAAGTTTATATTTCTACTGTAAATTGGCAAATTGCTTTGGGGAGCATTGTCAGTCATTCTGTATGTGAATCTGTTTCTGTATGCCAAAAGCAACTTGCAGCTAAGCTGATAAAGATTACAAAACTACATATCAAACTAGGCCCTGCAGTAGCAGTGGAATTACAAACCCAGAGGCCCATACAACTTGTCCTCTATGTTCCTATTTTGATGACAATAGAAGAGACACTCATGAGAGACATGACTTCTGTTTCCCCCATACCTAAGAAGAGAGATTACCATACTGGTCTCCCTAGAGGTTAAATAGCAAGGCTTGACTTGATGAATTAATTAATAAATCTAAATATCCTCCAGATTCTGTGGAAATATCCTTTGACATTTACATCTAAGTAGTTCATCTGAGTGAAAAATCAATGAAATAATTTTTCAAGCAGACCCTATAGGCATTTTCCTATTTCTGTTAAGAAATTCATGTAGTTTACATGGCAATTTCAAAAATGCCTAAATAAGCTTTTGGTATAGTTCACTGTGAATTTTAATATATTAGGGAAATTAAAAAGCCCTTCTTCTAGTGACAAACTAACATTTGCATATTGTTTGAGATTACAAATATTTTTCATGTATAGCAATTTATTTCCATTCTCATAACAATCCTCTGAGGAAGATAGAGTAGCTATAATATCTGTTTATAAATATGAGGAAAATGAGGCACAAAGATGTTAAATGAATATCACAATTCAACAAATAAAAAGTTGGAAACTGAAAGTCAGTTCTTCTGATCACCAGTTCACTACTGTAACATTTATTTCCCAGTAACACTGAGATGATTCATCTAATTTTTATATTTCTCTACCAACATTTCACTAGATCACTATTACAGAAGTCTCAAAATGTATACATGGGTTCTTATCCACAATTCTGATTTTGGCCTTTGGGACAAGCACTGCACCATGAGTATTTACCATACCCATTGAGATTACCCGTGGGGCAGAAGACAAGTAAGTGCAAGTAAACTATCCTCTATGTAATAGCCTAAAAGGTCTATCACCAAAGTCAAATAATGTCTGAATTTCACAGGGAGGAAAGAGACAATATAAAGTGTGCATTATACAAATACTTTGCCATTACAAGTGTCATGGTAATGAACAAAGAGTTAATAGCAATCCTAGGTTTTCAAAAGACGCAACAATAGTGCAAAAATAGTTTTCAGGTAATTATCATTTTCTATGCAATTATGACAGCTCATGTCAGCCTTACAAGTATATTTAAAAAACGAAGTATATAGCTTTTAAAAGTAATTTATTCTCAAAAAATGTTCAGAGTTGTAGCTCTTAGGTTTAAGAAATCTTTAAAACAGAGTTTGATAACCAATAAATCTATTTTCTAGTATGATGTTTCACAGTGGTTAACTACAGTAGATTATATGTAGTTTTCATTTTCTGCCTTAGATTTTTGTCTATTTTCCACAACTTTCCCAAAGTTTCTACAAAAGGCATAGATTTTTCCATCATAACCAGAAAAAAATGAAAACTTAACATTTAAATGACATATACACTATGATTTCAATAATACAAATATGCACAGAAAAGATAAAAGGGAAGTATGAGGAACTGTTGCTAGTATGTTATTTTTGACAAGTAGGATATAATTTCCTGTTTTGCTTTGCACTTTTAGGTATTTTTCCACCTGGTAAATAGAGAAAACACTTTAAAATCAATTCAGTCATTTTGTTCAATAGTCAAGAGGTTCCAAAATTAGATAATGAATTCAAAAGCCTTTAAGAACTATAAAGAAAAGTAATGCAAAAACAAAAAAAAAAAAAGAAAGAAAAGTAATGCAAATTACTTGGTGTTATTGTGAAGATAAGTTTATATTTCTACTGTAAATTGGCAAGTTGCTTTGGGGAGCATTGTCAGTCATTCTGTATGTGAATCTGTTTCTGTATGCCAAAAGCAACTTGCAGCTAAGCTGATAAAGATTCCAAAACTATATATCAAACTAGGCCCTGCAGGAGCAGTGGAATTACAAACCCAGAGGCCCATACAACTTGTCCTCTATGTTCCTATTTTGATGACAATAGAAGAGACACTCATGAGAGACATGACTTCTGTTTCTCCCATACCTAAGAAGAGAGATTACCATACTGGTCTCCCTAGAGGTTAAATAGCAAGGCTTGACTTGATGAATTAATTAATAAATCTAAATATCCTCCAGATTCTGTGGAAATATCCTTTGACATTTACATCTAAGTAGTTCATCTGAGTGAAAAATCAATAAAATAATTTTTCAAGCAGACCCTATAGGCATTTTCCTATTTCTGTTAAGAAATTCATGTAGTTTACATGGCAATTTCAAAAATGCCTAAATAAGCTTTTGGTATAGTTCACTGTGAATTTTAATATATTAGGGAAATTAAAAAGCCCTTCTTCTAGTGACAAACTAACATTTGCATATTGTTTGAGATTACAAATATTTTTCATGTATAGCAATTTATTTCCATTCTCATAACAATCCTCTGAGGAAGATAGAGTAGCTATAATCTCTGTTTATAAATATGAGGAAAATGAGGCACAAAGATGTTAAATGAATATCACAATTCAACAAATAAAAAGTTGGAAACTGAAAGTCAGTTCTTCTGATCACCAGTTCACTACTGTAACATTTATTTCCCAGTAACACTGAGATGATTCATCTAATTTTTATATTTCTCTACCAACATTTCACTAGATCACTATTACAGAAGTCTCAAAATGTATACATGGGTTCTTATCCACAATTCTGATTTTGGCCTTTGGGACAAGCACTGCACCATGAGTATTTACCTTACCCATTGAGATTACCCGTGGGGCAGAAGACAAGTAAGTGCAAGTAAACTATCCTCTATGTAATAGCCTAAAAGGTCTATCACCAAAGTCAAATAATGTCTGAATTTCACAGGGAGGAAAGAGACAATATAAAGTGTGCATTATACAAATACTTTGCCATTACAAGTGTCATGGTAATGAACAAAGAGTTAATAGCAATCCTAGGTTTTCAAAAGACGCAACAATAGTGCAAAAATAGTTTTCAGGTAATTATCATTTTCTATGCAATTATGACAGCTCATGTCAGCCTTACAAGTATATTTAAAAAACGAAGTATATAGCTTTTAAAAGTAATTTATTCTCAAAAAATGTTCAGAGTTGTAGCTCTTAGGTTTAAGAAATCTTTAAAACAGAGTTTGATAACCAATAAATCTATTTTCTAGTATGATGTTGTTTTATGATGTCCTCATCTATTTTTGTTTTTGCCACCTCTGCCTCATATAAAGTTATAAAAATCAAATGTAAAGTGATTTATCAACTGAGCCTCTGAATGATGAATATGATAATAAATGCCCTGAAGTAAATTTTAAATGAAACTTATACATATAAAAATTCTCTGCACATTTTTAAATGTCCCAATGACCAGTTTGATTTGTATTCTTAAATTATTCCTGCCATCTGCATACAAATATGTACTGGATATTGAGTAGAACTCTTTTACTAATATTTTATCAGCATATATCTATATGTATATATAACCTTTTAAGCGATACATATAAATGAGCGCATGCAAGTATTGTTATTAAGCACAACAATCACAAGTATTACACCCATGAATCTACTACCTAACCAAAAAACTAGACTGTGACCAGTATCTTTATACCAGCCTAAGAGTTCTTTCCCTATCCCACCTTCCTGCCTATCCTCCACAGGTAGTTCAGTATCCTGAATGTTATGTTTTATCATCCCCTTGTCTTTTTAAAAAATAACTTCATCACATGTCTGAATCCTTAAATAACATATATTTAGTTTCATTTAGTTTTGAGCTTTATAAAAATGGTATCTTACTGTATATATTCCTCTGGTACTTGTTTTTTCACTATTATATTTCCAGATCCTCCCATATTGTTATATATAGCTGTAGTTCAATTATTTTTACTGCTAT